AAAAGAGCTCACATCCTGGCTGGCTGAAAGACAGCAAGACAGCCATCCAGACAACATGGGTTAAGGGCGGGCTGAAAGAGGGGGCTAGCCCGAGCATTGTTACCAACTTAGATTAAAAGTGATAGCCAAACAAACGCTCCTAGCAGCGGCACCAATTGAGAAAGCAATCGCAGCTCAGGAAAAAAAAAATTGAAGAAATGTGAAAAGAAAAACCTTGCAGGGAAACCAGGCAAGTTAGGGAAATGGGAATGGTACAAAAACAAAACGAAACAAAAAGAAAAAGAAAATGTATAATTGAAATCAGTGTCAAGACAGTGCCAGAGAAAACAGGAACAGGAGCAGCCGGGACAATTCAGGATGGCACTTAAGTCGAATGGCCAAAACAAGCAGCACAAGGCAGTGGGAAAACAGCGGAAAAGCCAAGTGCAAGATGCAGAAATTAGAGGCAAATAAGAGCAGGCAAAGCAAAAAAAAAATAAAATAAGGAGGAAATAATTCCAGAGTAAGGAAGCGCACACAAATTAGCTAATGTTGAATAAAGCCAAAGTCAAAACCAATTCCATTCCCTCAACTTCTCCAAGTTTCCAGCCCGGACTCACTTCCTTCTCCCTGCCCCTGGGGAAACAGGGCGTCGTCGTCCACAATTGGGTCAACTAACATTTGGAGCAAATGGCCAAGTGCGACGGGCCGTGACAGGAGCATGAAAAGTGCTTTAAACAAACATTGGCCAGATCTCCTTAAATTTTTTGGTCAAGATGTAAGTAAGAAAAGTGTTAAGATAACGAATACTTGGAAGTGTAAACTTGGCAGAGGGGTTAAAAGGGAAATTCTACACCAGGCAGAAATCTATATAAAAACACAAATTAGAAGAGTAAATCATAATCAAATATCTAAAATTCTTTCGCTATTACAATTTAGTAATGAAATGATTTGCAAACACGATAATTAAAATATTTTCTATGCGAATCATGGAAATGCCAACAATATGGTCACCCGCACATATTCGTTAATTGTGCATTCAAACAAATATCACGAAATATGTGTTAAATCTAGCTAAAGGACTTAAATGTAATTAGTGCAATGCTACAGTTATTTTCTTTGCAAGCTATTTATTCAAATTTTAATTAGGTAAAATTATTCAAACGAAATACTCATTGTCATTGCCGTGGGAAATGTGAGTATGATTGAATATTAAAGGCCCAGATACTTCTATAGAAATTTAGTTTATAGAAATTATTTAACTTAATTTAATTCCAAAGAGTAAACAATACCATCTAGATTGTTTAATAGTTTGTTCATTGTCCGAGAAGCTTTCGTGTCTTTAAAGACCATATATCTTTGGCTGATTTAGGGAATGACAGAAGCCAGCTTCCAGCCAGTTATTCGAAACGAAAGTGGCAAATTGATTGTCTTTTGTGCTGGGGAAAAAGGTGAGACAATTATTTACAAATCCAGACAACCATTTGTCCCACTCACACAGTTAATCCCCCCCTATTGCAGCGATCCTGCCCCCTGCCACCCTACCAAGATGGCAACTCAAAACTGGCAACTGGCTATTTGTTAGCATTTTGCAGTCATTACGCAATCCCGCAGTAGTTGCCCCACAGCAGGCAGCCCAATAGCCCTTAATTAATGGCCACTTTTGGGAACAGTTGGCAGTTTCTAATTTCAAATAAATAAACGCAATCCCCAATGGAAGGAGGAACCAATTCCACACCCTTCTCCTCCTCCTCGACACCTAGAAAATATAGCTACTACTCGATTTACCGAAATCAAATGGAAATTCTCTACTCGCCAGGCTTTTACATATATTTGTAAAATTTCTCTTTCACACATTTAAATCTGCTTTTTTGTTTGTTTTTTATATTTTTTTTTCTTTTGGGTATTTGAATGCTAACATTCCATAGACGAATATTTCCGCTTGATTGCCACGTGTGGTAATTTCCTTGCCCCGATAAATTTGGGGTTTATCCCCCCGATTTTCCCCAAACCTCATCGCATCCTTTTGCCATTTTTCATGTCAAAATTATTCAATTATTGGCGAAGCGAAGGAAAATAAACGAAATAAAAGAAAGCCAACGGCAATGTAAGGAACTCAAAGTGGTTGTTTTTTTGGCAGAGTCGACTTGTTGATACCCATTACTTAATTTTTACTTTATTTTACTTTCCATTTCAGTTCCTGATTGAAAAATTAAAGACTTTCGCTCGGACCAATTGTTGGCCATGTTAATATGGATTTTAAATTTCAATTTTATCATTAATAAATTTATAAATATTTACCCAGAGTGCTAAAAATGTACAGCAAACGGTATGTGCCTAACCCAACGTTTCTAGATGTAAACAAAACGAATTTACAGTTATATGTGTGGACTCCGTCGCGATTTTATCCTCTGTCTTCACATCTTTTTCGCACTTGCTGAGCCCTTGCAAGCATACACACACACACATACTCGAGACGCAGTTTTCGGTTTTTTTCCTTTGGTTTTAACTTACATTTTAGATCAAATTTTTCTTTGCTTTCGTTTGTTTCCAATGTAACTGACTTAGTTTATCACTGTATTTCATCGATTAGATATTTTAAAGTTGCATAAATTATGTTTTAACACTTTGTTTTAGCTTTCCGTTAACGAAACTAAACTTTGCGCTTGGCTTGACGGCTAGAGATGGCAAACGATCTACTATGGATGTGGACTGTTCCTCGATCTACACTATCGACTCCTATTTTCCCCATCGATACATCGAATACTCATATCGATTTCTTTGTTATTGAGCGTGTTTACATATTTTATGTAAAATAAGAAGGGTTTTGATCTTTGAAAAGTATAGACTTAATTATCAAAGTTGCTGCTTGCAAAATGTAAGTTGTACTTAAAAAAGCCACCGTAATCATTCTAATTTTTTTTATTTCGATTAGCAGACCTCTTTATACATATATTTATTTATATATCCAGATATGCCCCATTCTACCCTGGACTCATTGAGCGTAAAAGGCAACAATATGGTTAGCGACTGTGTGTGTGTGTGTGTGCGTGCGAGAGTTGACTTCCGGTCGCCGCCATCTTGTGGGGGTCACATTTTCTGCATGCATTAATTTACAATTACGATAGACTGTCGACAGCTGCCTCCCTCCCACCCTGCCTTTCCTTTTCCTTTCGATCCGAACCTGAATCTGATTCTGAATCCTTCGCTTGGGTTACGTAAATTATTATGCCAAAAAAGAAATTAGGCAAAATTATATGTGGCTTCGGCTTTGGTTCCTGTTGACCTTTTTTGCCCTGTGTTTTTGTGTTACTAAACGATTTTCAGTTACTAAAACTAGACGACCCTTGGCTTCTTGCAGCTTCAGTTACTAAAAGCCCAAAAATGTCCCCTTTGGCCTGATCAGGTGGGTGAATTTGTCAGCTCGAAGTTAGTGCAACGATGTCCAACCTTCTCGAGCAATTAAATGAATCCCTATCAAAGGAAAGGATGGCCAGGCCAACGTCCCAAGTCCTGGAACCACAGGACAGCTGGTAAATGCTCGACCAATGGCGTCAATCAATTACTCTAGTTGAGACAACGCATCTGCGGTGGCACACAAGGATATCTGGGCGGACATTGAGGGCGTGGCACTGTCTTGAGGTTAATGTCGATTGGCCAGAGAAAGAGTGACCATAATGGCAGGACAATTGAGTGTGTTTTTATGCAAGGATGGTCTAGCTGGTAGATATTTATGGCTGCTTTAAAGGTTGATATCATTTTAATTATAAATATGTACGTCTTTAAGGGCCACTTCACGTTTATTACATTTTTTTGCTTTTATAAAAAGTCTCTTAATTTCATAAAAACCGCAGAAAAACCCCTGACAAATCGTTGGAAATCGTATAGCCTTGAGGCCCTCATCGATTTCCGTGGGACTTAAAGTTAAGCAGGCAAACAATTGGCCAATTAAGTGAACTCAACTCGACTGAAAGGACATACTTATGCATATCGATAAATCAGCTTGCAGGTACAAGCCAACTTTATATATATATAGAGAGAGAGAGAGATGTACGTATATGTAAATAGTATGGTATTATGGAGGATTCTCGTACTTTGTGTATTTGTGCCATGTTGACCAACTTGGCCGACTGCCACAAAATGCGACAAACATAACAAAAAAAAAATGTGAAAAAATAGTAGGGAAATGCCGCGAAAGTGCCATCCCTTTTACACGACCTTGACTGCACACACACACACATAAACATACTGCAAAAGCATATATGTATATGTATAAAAAGTTCAAAAACGAAAAAATACCTTGTCTGGGCGAAAAGTTTGCGACTTGTTTTTGCGCTCGATGCGAAAAATGTGCGAGTTCGAGTCAATTAATTACAGGCAGCCGAACACAGAACTCTACCCAAGCTCAAACAAACACAAGCACAGAAACACATACGTATATGTACTATACGTCCTATACATATATCATCTTTGTGCGTGGCTTTGTGTAGCCTACAATTTGGGGCACACTCACTCATACACACATTCTTGTACATTCAGGATTCGAATTTTTATGTCCAAAAGCGAAAATGTATGCATTCGACTTTGTGTACTTGTGTGCGGAATTGGTAACACACAAAGGGCCACAAATGCCATATGGCCATATGGGCATATAGATGATGATCCAACATATAGCCGATATATCTCCCAGTGCCTGTATGAGTGTGTCCGCATAAATAAGCAAACAAATGAACGTCTAATGAGGTCAGAGAACGGGGCAATGGCCATGTCCTAGCCAATAAAAGTTACTCTTGGGCATGTGTGAAGATGCTTTCAGCGTTACACTGACAGAAAAGTTACTAAAGGTTAAGGCTAGGAATCTCTGGAAGGCGCTTGAAGGGATAAACAAGCGAGTAAGAGTATTCATAGTTGCTTTTGCCCAAGTATTTACTAATTAATTCTTACAATTTCTCCCAGTGCAGTCACGCACTTTAACACATCACCCCTCTCACTTTTGCCTTTGGCTATGTTGTGGCACTTACCGTAAACTGCTTGGCCAACAATTAGCAACATTAGCAGCGAACAGCGTGAGCCTTGGATTAACCTTTGATTTTGTTGCTGTTGCTGTTGCTGTGGCTGTTGCTGCTGATGCTGTTCGTGTGGCCGCTGCTGTGGTTGTTGTCCGCTGCTGCAAGTGCTTCTTCTTCTTCGCATTTTGTGTGAGGTTTGCCAGCTTCAGTCTTATTGTCTCCGTCTCGCTTTAACACGCTCACGCCCTCTCCTTCGGCCGTAAGAGTCCTCCACACGTAACTGTAAAATATAGTCAAGAAGAAGAAGAACAAGGCAAGGATAAGTCCAGGATCGAGAAACATGAACAAGAAACACTATAAGTACAGATATGGGTATAAGAATAGGAATAGCAGGTAAAGAAAATTGAAGATTTTGATAAAAAAAGTGTTTAAAAATCATATTTTTTAAAGGTTAAGCTCTCTATAATGTCTTTTTATATCAAAAGTATTACAAATTACATTGCCCTACTATCTTGCCCTCGACTGTAACAGTAGGAACATAACGGAAATCCAATTGGAGCGAGTGTAAGACAATTGCTCGAGTTTGTTCAAACAATTTTGCGCGCTCCTTTCCGTCTTTCGTCGCGCCAGCAAATGAGTTTTTCCTCAAATTGAGTTTTCGCCGCTGGCGAAATGTCAGCACCAAAAATAAATGATAATCCCATCAAGTGTTGGCAAATTGCAGACAAATATATTGCAATTTGTTTGGAATTTGCTGAAGGATTATCAAGGATGCTGACGGCACGAAACAAGGGTGTTGATATGGAATTTCAAAATTTAATTAATTTTCCCGTAGTCTGTTTCGCTAATTCCTTATAAATTCCAACATTGTTATCGTCTATAATTTTACAACCATTTAACCATAATTGTTAGCTTTGTTTGCTGCTTAAAGTTTTAAGGTTCTTAAAGTTGCTTAAATTAAAAGTTAGTTTAGGAAAAGTGTTTTCTATTTTCGTAATATTTGTCATATTTTAACGACCATTTCATTGATATCAGTTTAATACGTTTTCCTTTACAGACAGGCAAAGGAAAAACCTTGATTCAAAGAAAGTCTTTACCCGAAATTAAAGCCTTTGAGAGTGTTTTCCCTTTGGGCCACAAATATTTTGCCTTGTCGCTGACATCGTTTGATGAAAGTGAAATCTTGGAGGACATGAAAGGCGAGCATCCTGCACATTTTACCTCTTTCTTTTTTTCTCTTTTTTTTTCGGAGGCTGCACCTGACTGACCCAAATGTGTTGGCATTTTTCTGGGGGCCTTCTGCTAGCCCCCCCTTCCCCACGTATGAAAAAGCTGCCCCCTTGCCGACCCCGCGGCGCCATAAAGCATGACCCAATTGAATTGTTACGCTCGTGCTAATAAAATTTTATGTGCGGCTATTATTAGGCTCTCGTGTCTGTTCGTGTCCTGCGGCACCGCAACACACACACACACATCCAATGTCACTTAGGATCCTGCGGCTCTCCTATTAGTACACGAAAAATACTTTAAAAAATATTCAAAATATCATTTGTAGAGTTAGCTGTTAGTGCTTTTTAAGGTTTTATTTAGAAATTTATTGGGAAATATTTGGATTTATCATTTTAAGGATTTTATTATAAATTTATTGAATATTTTCTTAGCTTAGGTTCATGTTTAATGTGTAAAAAGTTTACATTCCTTTCTTTTTATATCCTTTTTACAACAAGTTCCCTTAAGGTAATATTTGTAAGATATATCCTCCTGATATTTACCCTTGATTTCCCTCCGTGTAAGTTTATATGATTTGTTTATGTTCCTTCACTTGTTTTTGTGGTATTATTTTGTCCATTGTTTGAAATTTTATTTTGATACTCTCTGCTGCTTTTAAGGCGAAACTAATTTGTTTCCTGTATTGATTTTGTTGGGTTGGTTTTGTGGGGCAGAAAGGATATCCTACTTTATCCTCGCATTCCTTCAAATCGCTTCGTCGTCGCGACGGCGTCCAGAAATTTATGCATAACTTTGCTCCTTCCGAATCTTTGATATCCAAACGCTTTGATTACACGCCCCGCCACCCAATCGCCCATTTAGCCATACTTTAGCCCCGATTTTCCACTTTATTCTCTGCATGTTTTTCGCATTTTTTGCGCTTCGCTTGTCTTAGCCGATTTCTCGTGGCGTTAAGTACTCAACCAAAAAGAACGAAAAAAAAAACACAAAGAAAATAAAAACAACAAACGAAAGGCCAGGAAAAACTCTTGGCCACTTGGAAAAAAAAAGGAAGGGGAAAAAATAGCCAGCCCCGCCTACGCGATTTGCATGGAGGCGTCGAGACAAAAGGGCGCTAACACCCCTAACCGGGGATCATGGCCAAAATTGGGACATTGGCCCGGGACTTTCATTAGGCCAAAATACATGGCGAAAGTGTGCAATTGACGCAAAATGCTTTCGTGTCCATTTGCGGGCAAGGAAAAGGGCTCAATTCGAGAATGGAATTTGGGAAAAGGATTTCTGGCCTGGCCAGGCAATTGATGGGCTCTAATTTCCTCAATAAAAGAAAAGGCAGCTCATTGATGAGGCCAAAATAAGCTTAGATTTTCAAGTTCTTCTAAAGAAATACTAATAGAGCTGTAATTAGAGACATTCTTTAATCCTTTATTTATTACTTTTTTGCTTGTTAAATGTAAAATCTCAGAAAATTCTAACAAAAAAGTCAGTTAGAAATATGAAAATCGAGGAGTTTTCCCTCTGATTTCAATGGCTGGCTAACAAAAAAGTTTTGCACCAACGCGGAGCCAAGCCACATATGTATATTCTCATCAATTTGCCATAATTTCTGCCCCTCGGAAAACTGCCATAAAGTGTCGTAAAGTGCATTAGAGCGCACTTGGCATAACGCAGCCAACAATAAGGAAACACCAAGGACTTGGGGGGACTTCAGGATGCGGAGACTGACAGGAAAAGAGCAACAGAAGTCCAAATGGTTGTCGGTGTATGTGTGTGTGTTTTGCATAAATATTCATGGTAGGCGGGTGAAATGTGGGCGGGGCTTTGGCCACAAGAATTGCGCCAGCGGGGCGACTAACACCTTCTGGCAAGACAAAAAATAAAAGAAAGAAACCAAAAAAAAAAGAAAATGGGAAAATCAAAAAAAGGAAAAAAGAGGGAGCTGGAAAACACAGGAGGGAAATTCCCCGCTGTCGTTTGCCGTTTGGCCCATTCCTGTCCCGATTCCCCATACTTTATGCCCATTTCTGATTGTTTATTAGTGCGGCAAAGTCCAACGAGTGGGCCCCAAAAGGGGAGAACGGTGGCAAAGGGGGGCAAAGAGGGCGTGGTCGTTTGGGGAAAGGCATTTTTAATGCCTTGGTACATTTATTGGCGTGTTTTACGCGCCATAAACTGAAATTCATAAACATTTTTTATGCACTTACATGTGTAAATGTGTTCGGTGTTCGCTTTTGGTTACCAGGAATGCATCCTGGAGTATGGGTTAAACTGGGTGTAGAGATGTGGGTGTTGGCTTCTCTGTAGGGTTAAGGGCTCTCTACCAAAGGTAACATACACATATTTTTTTTCTGTCGAGGTGTATGTTTTGGGTGTGTGTGTGTGCGCTATCCTGCATTGCGAAAATGCGGCATAAAAATTCATTTTATTGCTTACGTTTTTGTATTGTGTACTGGTGCTGCTACCCTTGCCTTGGACAACTCTGTGGGGGCATCTGGGGTTAAGGGGTCGGTCGCCTGTCTTAGGTGCAGTTCGGAATTATATATGAGCACGTAGAGAGGAGCAACAGCTTTTCGCCCGGAGCATGTAAATGTGCATAAAAATAACAAAACATTTGAATACCCTCTGCAAGGTTATAAAATATCATCACAGATTCCAAACATTCTATATATAACACTCGAATTGCAGGCATAAGAAAATAAATGAAGATTGAAAGTGATTTCATTCTAAATCACTTTCAATCTTCAATCCCAAAATCTTGTTCAAATATAAGAAATTATCAAAGTTTTTCTGCATTTTCCTTCGAAATGGCTAAAAATTACTTTTATTGCCTTTCAACTAGTAAATAGAAATCACTGCACCTCTCCCTGTAATATTTAACCAATTAAAATCATGTTAACGAGGCGATATAATAATAATAAAATCATTTTTTATCATTGCCATGATACCCATTTATGGCCCATGGCTATGAACATTTTTTCTTTCCATTTCACTGAACGAGCAGAAGAAGAAAAAAACGGATGAATATGATCGAAAGGAAGGGGTTTTATTTAAGCCTTTCCCTAATCGTTTTTCCGGCATACGGGCGGAGGGTCGACCTTCTTCAGGTTGCCAACTGGCGACAGGCCACTTGCCCGAAAATGGCGACAAACCAGTGCGGCACATTACGCATACGCAGCGTGGGACTCATGCATATGCAAAGGTTGCGGATGCGGATGCGGATAAGGATGAGAGAACATATATATGTGTCTGTGTGCGTGTGTGTGGGTGATACTGATAAGGGCATTAAGGACTCCACTGACTTTGCGCAGGCCATTCGAAATTGGCAACACACACTCGATTTGGTGTGGCATCTTGGGGTGATAATTGCGCCCGTACCAGAGTTCCGATAAGGTCAAAGGTTGCCCAGCTAGCCAAAGGAAATAGCAAATGGCCAAACAATGGTCAAAGGAAAATTGGCAAGAGCCGAAAGTTCAGAAGGCCAGCACCTGCACACAATCGAAAAACCGAAGTTATGACCGAGACAAACAAGGCTGGCACAGAGAGAAAAGTTGTACGGGAAACTAAATGGATTTCATGGTAAGAAAGATATTTATTTTATGAACTGAATGATAGATATAGCTAAGAAAATATCCCATTTTCTAGGCATTTAAATAGGCTTTTATAATCTTTGAACTTTATTTTCTCAGTGAACTTTTAGCCTAAGGGAAAACTTCATTCCTTTGAGAGAAAAACTCTTGCGCCGACTCATGTGCCATGAAAATTGTTTTCATTTCCAATTCCAATTATTATTTTTATGTGCATTCATTGTCTGCGAGCCACGCATGATTTTATAGCCAAAATGCTGAGTCAGCTGTGAGGGAAAACACGCTCCAAGTCCACTGTACTTGATTAATTTGAACAAGTTCGAGTGGGGGCACCGAGTTTTTCCCTCTCTCTTAGCTTTCCATCTCAATTACCTACTTTATATTAACAGCGCTGTTTCACTCTTGACTGGCCACCAAAGGCCAAAAACTCCCCTCATTCCCCTTATTTTTCCCCCAAAAAAAACCCCATCCAGGATGCCATGACTTCATGCCACGTACGTGTCGAGCTCTGAGGAGCTGATGATGACTGGGAGGTCCTTGGAATTGAAACAAATTCGAACATGGTCCTGGCAAAATGGCAAAATGGCTAGAAACCTGCCCCGTCACATCTACATAAAGTAACAACGGCAACAACAATTACTGCCCATGAAAGCCGGGCGAAGAATCTGTTGACATGCCCAGGGAACCGAAATTAAGTGCACGGTGTGGCAAATTTCATTTGCAACGGAGGGAGTTCTCAAGCGTTTTTAATATCTCTTAATTAAGGAGGTAATTAAAGGATATTAAGGATGTGCTAAGGCTTGGAAGAAGAGGTTTTGGACTTAAACAGGTTTTTGGCTTTTATTAAGTATTTTAATTCAGTTGATTAGTAAAATAAGTAGCTAAGATTATCTATTTTCACATTTCTAAGCTGTTAATGTAATAAATTTCCAGCATTTTCCATAACACACCTTGCAAAAATTATAACAAAACTTAAACCACCTTTATAACAGCTTAAACTTGTTTACAAGTTATTGTATAACACACAATTTCCGCTATTTGTTATCTTCTTCATCAGCCACAAAGTGTTATATTTGCAATATAACAGTTTCAATGTTACTTCTTGGTTTTTATATTGCTCGTCTATTATTCTTTAATTTTAACACAAATCTTTAAAAGTGTTCCATATTTTAAAGTTATAATTAATAATTATTGTTGTTTTTGTAATACAAATCAACTGGCCTTCGCCAAACGATATTATTTAATATTAATTGCCATTTCAAATAATGTAAACAAAGAGAGAGCAAAATGAGAGAGGAGCACCAAAACGAAGATCTATGGCAACGCTCTCAGCCTCTCTCTGCCCTCTGCGCTTAGAACTCTCCCACTAATTGGCCAGTCATAATCCGTCGCCTCTCTAAGCCGGTCGCAGCTTTTGTAATTGCATTTAAAAAGTCTTAAGAAGTGTTAAAAGGTGTTAAAAATCGGTCAAATATTGATCAAATAATACATTAATAGTGATCGCAGGATTGTGTGTTGTGTTTAAAACAATATATATTGTTTTAATTGTGAATTTAAATAATTGCACTGCCAAATGGCAAGGGGTGCTCCGCTGGATTAATGAAAGTGTGTATGTGTGTAAATCTGCGTAGTCTTATGTATGTACATATGTACACATATAACGGTATGCATATGCTTACATAAAAACGCACAATTCTAAGTTTTCTTTTGCAAATTAATGTAAAACCATTCAATGTTCAAGTAATGCCAATGAGAACCTTCAACAATATGCAAAATCAAAGTCAGTGTACCTAAAATTTTGTATGTATTTCATTGATATTAACTTCAAAAACATAAATCAAGTCTGTAATTATTAATTAAACGCACGCACAATATCATTGAATATCAATTTCAAGTGTGTATACCAAAATTACGTGCCAAAGAGAAGAGGAAAAGATCTGCGATGTGAAGCAAAGATAAGAACTTTGGCGCAGTTTCGTTTACCGTAATTTTCTTCTTTGCCTTTGCAACGTAAACTTCTGTCTTTGCGTTTTCATTCTGAAAGTCGTCCGTTCGTAGATTATTAACGGTTTTAAATGTTGTTGGAAATATGTAGAAATATTACAAGAACAGTAAAATCAGTAAGTAAATACGTAAGCCCATGAGAAATATTAGTTAAATTTTAGGTTTTGTGTTGTAAATGAAGGTAAACTAGTTATTAATACCAAAGCCAAAAACCTAAAACATATATTTAGTTTTTGCTTAAAAAAGAAGCCTTATAAAGTGATAAAATAGTACATAAAAAGTGTTGGTAGGGCAGTGTTTATAATTTTGTTGAATATTTATTAATGGAATGGCAAGCTCAGCTGCTCAGCAGCTGCTGAAAATGTAAGTATAATTTATATTTGTAAATATAAATATACTAATTTGTTAAATATTTGCAGGAAAAGCAACAAATATCTTCTACAATACAAGACATCCCATTAGGAAGCTTTAAAAACAAGAAAAATTAAGGTAAGTGGAATTTTTATAGGTTTTTTTTATTACTATTTATATATATATATTATATTTATATATAAAATATCGCAAGTGTTTCTTAGTTGCTTAAGCAGACAAAAATGTGATTTTCCCTAAGCTGATTTCCCATTATTCATGTTTAGATTAATTTATCTTCAAGATCTCTCCCTTTAAATGTCTTCATTTTATTATTATTTTTAAATTAAATACATTCTAATTTCATACAAAAAAGAATATAATTTTTTGTATAAAACCACAAATGTTTTTAACTCAAAAATAATATTAAAAGCAATTTCCTACTAGCAAATAACTTAAAACAACTTTCCTTCAAAACAATCTATTTATGTATACTCTAAGCCATGATAATGCCTAATTCAGAGTTTAGTTTTGAGTTAGCTAAGTCAGTGTAAGTCGTCGTAAGTCCCCTTAACAAATGTGTGACAATTTTCAAATTGCCGAGTACCAGGTACCAGGTAGCATGTACCAGAGTTCACCTTGAGCTATTCTCACCCAGCGGAGTGTTAAAGTTTTATTTGCCTGGTGGCGGCACTTCATCCACTCCTTGACTTTTGGGGCGCACTCGAGGGCTGGGCTCTGCAACCACTGTGCGCTTAAGAGGCGTTGAAATTAGCCCGACCCCGGGTCACCACCCCATCGACATACCACCCACATCGTAGCATACCCACAAATTTTGCGCCGCCATCTTCATCTTCATTGTCGTTCTGCGACGACGTCGACGGCGACAACGACGACGACGATGGCGTTGTTCAAGTGGCGCTAGATAAATGCTAAATTCATGTCTGGCGGGCGCCCAACATTATTAGATGGGTGGTTAGGCAATAGTACCACCCACCAGCCACCCACCATGGCCTTGGAAACACACGCTTTAGTGCACATTAAGACTTGTTTACGAATTTGCTTCAAACACGAAATTAATTTGTAAAATTTCCAAATATTCCCTGTCGTAGAGAGAGGGGAGTGGGATGGCACTTTAATTAGTGGGCTGTTCTGCTCCTCATACTGGGAGGTTTTTCATCTTTTTTTTTTTTTTTTTTCGTTTTTATCCATCTGCCTGGCAGGAGTGTCCAGGACAACGGAGCCAGATTTTGTTGTTATTTAGCCAGCTTGCAGAAATTCCCAACCCAAAAGGGACGAGACAGCATATTGGCCACGTTTCACATTCCAGTGTCTTAATCTGATCTCCTTTTTGGATTATATATATATATAGAGGTATATATAGGGAGTTTCCTTCTTTTTTTTTTTGGCACGCACTGCAGTTTTATCCAATTTGTATTTATAGCTGGCAGGCAGGAAAGCAGGGCCCAAACCTCAAAATCATGATTGATTTGATTTCATTAAGGCGAAGATATTTCTGGCATTTCATGTGTCATTTTTCCATCTTTTTTTTGTCAGTCAGTTGAGGGAAATGCGAGAGGAGTGCTTCATAAATTTTTTTGGCAATGGCATTTTCCTGGAGATCGGAGACAATCAATTTGTGAGTGACAAATGCAATATGATTAAATGAATCAGTTCATATATCAAGCTCTCCTGTTAGTCAGTGTAATAAATATGTCAGTGGCTGTAGCTGTGGCTTTGGCCTCCTCAAGGTTTCTCTCAAGGATATATACACATTTTGGTAGCTGTCTGTTGTCTTGGCTCCAGCTGAATTCATGATTTCCTTTCGACTTTGTCTTGGGTTGCCTTTAACTTTGTTTTTTTTTTTTTTCTAAGCATTCTAGCCGAGGGCTTTCTTCGCTTTGATTTGCTGTTCCGTTTGCTGCCTTTTCTGGCTTGCCACTGACTTAAGCTCAAATTTTGTTATAGGGAGCAGAAAACGCCCTGAATAACAACAACAACAACAATAACAACAACCAAAAAGCCAGTCAATGTTGTAAAGCTCAAAAGGCAAACATCAAGGAAAGGAGAATAACGAGTTGGGTGATGCAAGAGCAGTGGCAGGAGCAGGGGCAGGGGCAGGCTGGAGTGGTGTTGAAAGTCTGGCAAAGTTTGAGGGGATAATCTCAATATGTTGAGAACGTTTCCTTTAGGATTATAAGTTTGGGGAAAAATGCATATGCATGAGCACTCACGATCGGCAGAAGGAATTAGCAGCAGTCTGCCAAGGAAATAAAAATATATATTTAAGGATGAAAACATACAAAACAATAATTATTTATCATTGTTTATATAAAGTTTTTAGTTTTTGTGATATTTCAGCTTATTAAGCTTTCTAATCTTAGTCATAAAGGAAAAGCTTTACTAATTATGTTTATAATCAAACTTAACAAACAAAGAAAATCTATTTACTCTTAACTTAAAGTTGATTTAATATTTTTTCCTCAGTTACGTTGGCATTCCAAAGCTGTAATAACAAAATTGATGAATTGATTAGGAAATCCCTCCGGCGGGTGCTTAAGTCAAGACCAATTATATTTGCTCAATGTTAAGCAAACATTTTTCCAGAACATTTTCCGCAATGGCTCAAAGAGAGGGCAAAGCATTTTATAAAAGAAATTACTTTTCTGCACACTTGTTCTTTTTTTTCTATATTTTTTTATTTTTTGAGGAAAAAATATATTCATAAATACATAGCAGTTGGTCCAACTTTTTGCTTATTATGCCTGGCATAAAGAGTCCATATATATTTATGTTTGTATATGTGCTGTGAGTGCATGCATACATAGTGATATTGTACATAAAAATGTATATTGCACAGCACTTGGCATTAAGTTAGGAACAAGAAACTAAATATTAAAAAGTAATTAATTTTTGGCTTGATTTTAACCTCACTCAGATACCTTAAAACCCTTTTTAATTTATCATATTATCATATTTATATCTTCTATAACCTAATATCTTGACCTTAGCTGTATTTCTATATAGTTATGCCATTGCCATTTTGGTGGCTTAGCACTTGGTTCGAGTTTTTGGCTAATTCAGGCGTCTTGGCACGCCGAATGCTTCATTAAAACCAAAAAGAATGCGTGGAAAATGGGTGGAGGAGGGTACTGAATGGTGGTAAATGAGGAGGAAAATGGGGTGGAAAACTGTTTGAGCGGGTTCTCGAGGATATAGTCTTTAAAGCCGCGCCAGCCATTTATCAACTGATAGCCAACTTCTGCGTGTGCCAAGCATAAAAACTAACTTTTAGCTACTTAAAGTGAACTTAAAAACATGAAACAACTCCCTAGTGTGCTGCTGCTGCTGGCACTGCTGTTGGTTTTCCCAGCGCAGCGACAAGGCGACAGAAAAATGAGCGAGATGGGGCGTCGAAAGAGATAGGAATAGTGGCATTGGGGACTGTTTTTTTTTTTGGGCGGCAAAGTTTCAGTTTGAGTTAATACTAGCAGCAGACAGATACATACACTGGGAAAAAGTGAAGATGGTTTTGGCAGATCTTTAATGGAGATTATTAAAGAAGGTGTTAAGGTAGAAAAATCCTCATTACAGTCCTCACTAAAGTTTATCAACCAGAATTATATTATTAAATGAAGTCATTTGTTATGAAAATTCATTTTAATTTTAAGCTTTTCCTCTCACATACCTAAGCCAAGCTATTAACTATAACTCTTATTAAACATCCTGAATATTAATTTCCAAACTAAATAGATTTTCAAACCCCCTAAGATTTGTCTTAAGTGAAGTAACGTAAGGAAAACTCTTTTAGAACTTAAAACCCGGGTATTAAACATTTTCCCCAGTGAAAGGGCTGGAGCAAGGGACAGGGAATTCCCCCATTTCCAAGGGAGCCCTTGTGGACGACACGTTGAACGTTTCTAAATTCAATTTGCAAAAGTTGAAAGCTAATGACGACGCCCCAAACTAAGTGGCCACTTGATTTGAGGGAAATGCTGTCCAAAAATAGCCACCATTCTTCCAACCCCATTTTTCTTTCTTTTTGTAACCCTTTGCTTTTCCCAGCTTTTCCTCCTTACTGGAAAAGTGTTCAACGCTGTGCATTCCCCGGCTAAGTGCAAGTTTAAACTTGTCAAACGGCTGCGCTCGAAATGTCAGTCGTGGGTGAAAAACCCCCTTAACCCTTTTACTCCTCTCAATATATAGATATTTCGCCACGGACATTCGGCTCACATTTTCCATTTCCACACATCCTCACACCCTCACACACACACATGCAGTTTTCCACCCAGCATTCAATACCTTATTCGTTGCCATTTAATAAATGATTTCGCTGCGAGAAGAGGAAAGTCCGCTGAGTTGTTTGGCCAGCCACTCAAACTATCCCATATACCGCCCACACACACACACAGACACACACACACTCTCAATCACCTGGATGACATTTGCAAAAGTTTATACCTTTCGATTTTTCCGCTCGACTGAAATATGAAGTTCTGCCAATAATTTTTTGGCTGTAAGCGAGAAATGCACTCGGTGACACAGCGCAAAAGCTCAAGGGATCCCCCGTCCAGAGTAATGGCCAAAATGGAAACAGTAATAAAAGAAATAATGCCTGTGAAACAACAATCGATGAAGCTATAACGACGACCTGTGATATTAACTATAATAACAAAACTGATAGATAGTAAAATATTGGCAGATATTCCTTACAAAAGTTCAACTAATTCTTATATAATATCAGGGATAAAGTCTTAAGGCTTAGTTCGTATTCAAAGGGACCCTTACTTTCCCCTCTCTTTAGTAAGTAGCTTTCAGTAGTTAAAGAAGTCAGAGCTTATAATTATCACATTAACTGACTTTCCCCTTTGACAGTTTCCCAGCTTTCCGCATTTTCCCTTATATATATATACTTCATTTTTTTTTCCTGCTGCCCCTTTTCAAAAATGATTCGAACATGGTAAAATTACCCATAATTGTCAACGCTTTTTGCTGCCTTTTCTTAATACCATGAAAAGGGTAGGAGGAGGGGCTGGTTTTTTGCCGGTTCGTTCATCATGTCGTTGGGATCTTCATAACCACTTTGGGTGACTTTTGTTCCGAGTCAACAGCATGGAATGGTTGCAGTGTGAAAAATTCATTTAAGCAGTCGCTAAACTCCGGCATCATATATCATCCTGGACAGAGGGGAGAAGCCAGGACCACAAAGCGGACAATGATGGGAACGGGAGAAGGCAAGGCAGACCAAGGCAGGCAAAGGAATGGCGAAATTGGCAAGGAGCCCGAGAAGAACTGGGTCCTGGCCTGGCCTGGCCTGGCTATATACTTGCGGCCACGCTCGGCGCGCCTAGTTCATAAATCATTAGGCTCGATTGTCTGGCTAACACGCTCAGGTCCTACTTCTCACCCACAACACTGAGAGAAAATCATTAGGAGAATATATTTTGTAAAGAAATTGAAAGAAAAGTTGGATTTTAAATGGTTTTCTTCTAGTCAAAATCAGTTTAGTTTCTCTCTCTGTACCTCTCGTGCTGGCCTGGCACACACTAAATTAATAAAGCATTTTGCTATCTCCCACAGTCCCATCCTCGACCCAAAAAAACACAGGGAAAAAGTAAAGAAAAAAGAAAAAAGAAAATATAACCGAGGAAGCAAAATCCAAAGTAATAAGAAAAGGTAAGCCCCAAAAATTGCAGCTTCAAAAAAAGATAATAAGCAATGAATTATCCTACACGCAACGAATTTCAAAATCAACCTGAACTACATCCAACATCCTTGCCTACAGATACAGCTATATCCCCCAACTACATATGTATAAGTGTGTGTGTGAGTGTGTGTGTTTGTCCTTTGGAATTTATCGCACGTTACGCCTGATGCTGAGAGTTGTAATTTTTCATGAACAACCCGGGGAACACGCAAGTAGAAAACGCTAAGCGAGATGAAGATGGAAGGAGGTGAAGGAATTCCAAGGCAAAGCTGGGTAGCACGAGGAGATGGATGTGGACAGGGACCAGGAGATGGAGAAGGGGCAGAAGCAGGAGCAGGGACAGAGCTGAAGATGGAGCGACAGTGCCTCACATGACTGACAAACGACGATTCAAGGCAAAGTGATGCCATTCTAGCCACCAGGCAAATATTTACAAAGTGATATGGGTTATTGGTTAAAGGAAGAACTTCATAAGAGCTATCATAGCATCTTCTATTGTAGGGTTTTTTGAGTAGAAGTTTCCTAACTTTTCCAATAATTAAGTTGACTTAATAACCGAACTAACTTATCTACCATCATTAATGAATCCCTCCACCACTTCGACTTTGACATTTTGGTCGCTTTTTCGCATATGTAAGCAAAACAGGTGCGTTAGTGAGTGTTAGCACGTGTGTCTGTCTGTCTGTGTGTGACGACAACAAACTTCATGAAAAGGATAAGCTGGGCGAACAACTCCACACGAGCGCGCGCTCACATAATGCAAGATTAATTTCTGATGTCGTTATAAATAAAAGCCCGAGTATTTTATAGCCAACATCCCTGCACTCCCCACCCCCCAACATCCACCCTTATGCAAAGTAAAAATATCAAAAAAAAAACTAAACTAAACCCAAGTCCAATGGAATTTGCCATCACTGGACAAGCGAGGACACATAAACTCACACAAACACATGGAAGAGTTAGGTAATACGGGGCGTATACGAAATGGACAGCTGTGGGCGGTGTTTGGGGGTGATGGGGTGGGTTAAAAACCAAAACTAAAGTCAACGGCCACAAGAATAATGTTGCATTTTATTTCTCCCGACAGTAATTCGCGAATGGAACGCTTTTTGTTCACATAATCGGATTTCCACACATACACGAGTATATTTTGGCCAACAAACATGGCCAAGAGCCGAGCGCGAGCACTAGCCCATCGCATATTCCGCCAAAATGACAAAACACATTTAAATGCGTTTTCCTTCTGCCATTCTCTTTGGCACTCGCCGGTCGTTCTGGGCCATTCCTTTCGAAATGGTTAACTAAGGAATGCATAATTGGTTCATTACGGCAAACTGGCTATAAACCAGGGACGTACTCTTCTACCTTTTCCTTTTTTGACCATTTAAAAATCTCATTTAAACGCAAATTGAATGGTAAATAAAATGCAATTAAAGTTAGCGCCGGTTGTTGGTTAAGATAGATGGTAGTTAGGTAGTAAGGAATCGATTTTTAAGTTGTTAAGAGACTAAACTAAAGTTAAGAATCCTCTTATGTAAGACAACTAAATTCAATCTATCAATTACTTAACATCATTAAACTGAAAGCTGTTTACCATTTCACCAAATCATCTCTTTTTGGAAAACCTATCACCAAATTTAGTTTTCCCCTGGAAAACCCATAATAATCTTCAAATTCAGAAACAATTTGCTAATCAAACGGACACCGGCAAAAGTTAAACCCATTAAAATTGATGCAGTTCTGGTCGGTTTATGATCGGGCAAATGTTCGGATTTTTAGGGCATCATATCCCCCCCACCCCAACCCCAACTGTTTTACGGATTTTTCCCATTTGGCGGACAAAAAAAACAAATTTTAACGTCCGGCTAGGCGGACAATTAAAAATTAAAAACTAAACACATATATAGTAGGAGTAGAAAATATAATTCCCCATGAACGGTGAACGGCGAGCGACGAACGGCTGGAAAATCCAATGAATTTTCAAATATATTGAAATGTGTGGTCAGTTTATGGAGGAAACGGTATGTGGAATGTGGCATGTGGCGGTTGATAAACCGTTTGTCTGGCCAATTATAAATGCATAAATGAATATGGCGTTGCGAGTTACAAGCAACAATTTTTCATGCCACATTTACGAATTATTATCCCAGACACCCAACACACACACACACACACTCGCTTGTGTATATATATATATAGTATATCATGTACATATGTATAAAGGCTAATCAAATTTTCCAGGTGCTAAATGAATTTTGGGCACTGGCACAGGCACAGGGAAAGCAGAGAGGCGAAAAAGCGGAAAAGCTGTGTAGAGAGGTAGAGGTATTCATTCAATAAGCCAGAGTGAGGATATACATCAATGTTCCCCAGCTGGGCCAACTTTCTCCGCCCATTTCACCAGCCAGTCAGCCTGCCTGCTCCTTCTCTGGCCTTGCCCCCGCCTTAAGTGGGCTGATGAACTGAAATGAGCCAGTAAGCAAGGTAAAAGTCAACAGTGAGAAAAATACGTTGATCAAACGTTTGATTCTTATTCTTTGTTGATTATCTGACTTTGTTTTAGCTACATTTTTTCTTTCAGTGTTTTTGTAGGGAAAAAGAAGGCTCACCTGATGACCTGTAAGGCATATTCAGCACTTTTGGCCCATTGTCCGCTCTACTCGACTACCCCATTCTTTACCTTATAAACCTGTCCGTTTTGTCTGGCTGAAAGGACAATCTATTTAGTTTCTACACTGGCTACTCGGCTAGCCATTCATTTTAATGTCCTTGTTGGTGTTAGTCTTGTTGTTGTTGTTGTTGTTGCTGTTTGCCAGCCCCTTAGTCCTTCTAATTGTTAGCATTTTTGTTGCATTTCTCAATTTGTTTGCACACTTATCACATGAAGTTGTTGCCGTCTTTCGACTTCTTCTCTGCCCTCTAAAAATTGGCTGAGCAGTAGTTTTCATTAGCCATCAGCTGGGCCAGAGCTAGCACTTTAATTGAATGAGTCTGATGAATAAGTTAGAAGGAACATCATTGAGAACTCCATTTCTTGTTTGCACTTCAGGCATTGAGTTTAAGGGACTTGAGTTTCCAAGGAAAAACAAACAGTTTGTCAAGCTTTGACAGCAAATCTTGTATTTAAAAACGAATTTTAAGTAATTACAAGGGAGATGATGTTAAGAGGGCAAATGATTTTCTAAGATGGAAAAGCAAGAAAATTAAAGGATATTTTTGAATAATTTTTATTTCACAAATTTGTAACTCTTTTCCTTATATCATTCTAAAGGCATATCACACAAATTAAGCCATCACCATTAATCCTAAATAATAAATCAAATTGGCCTTAAGACCAAGTTGTTTTTGCAATTTTTCAACACTTTTTAACACCCATAAATTTGTACACATCCGAGAAAACATATATCAAATAAGGCCAACAACATATTAAGCAGCAACGGAAAAACTTTGGTCAAACCGAACTCTTCAAACTAGTCAACAAAAAGCAGAAGAAAAAAAAGAAAACAGTACAAGAAAAACATAAACAAAAACCCAAAAAAAAAAGAAATTGAAGAGCGAGAAGTGCTCAGAACAACATTTTCGGCGCTTAGTCACGCACCAAACTTTTTTCGAATAATATTATCTGAAGAGAGAAAGAAAGAGAGAGGGAGAGAAGAAAAATAGAAATAAAATAAAATAAAATAAAACTAAGAAAAACAGATACTCAAAACGCCCATGCACCACGCCCACACGCTTAACAATTCAATTTGGGCGCCATAAAAAATGGCAAATGCGGAAAGCAGAGAGCGGGGCGGTATGGGGAGATGTAGATAAACTTGGTACAAAGAAACCAACAGATAAAAACTGAATGGACTCCAAATTTGTTTTGGGTTTTCCCTCAACCAACCTCTTTTCCCCTCTCAAAAAACTTCCCAATGTGTGTTATGTTTTTTCTTCTTTTTTTCAAGTGTCCGTAAGTGCAGCAAATCGTTGCAAGTACCGCCAATCCAGTCCGGTTAAGTTGAAGCCCCATTGCCCAACTCCCTCCCATGCCCTTCGAAAAAAGTTTAATTGTTCGCCTTGGACTCCCAAAGTCCCCAAAACCGACTGGCTAAGCCAACCGAAAGCCACCCATAAGCCACCCACCCACTTTTACACACTCGCCCAGTGCCAGTGTTTTGTTGCTGCGTTTGCAACATTTCAAGAAATAAGTAAAAACCCAAAAACAAATCGCCAACCAAACGTGCAACTCAAATAAATAAAATTGAGAAGGCACTAAAATCAAATAACATAAAATGAATAAAAATAAAACACACACACACTCGCACACACAATAGGTATATAAATAATATCAAAAAAGAAAAAAAAAAAGGGGGAAACAAATGCAAAATACAAGTTCAAAGTTGAGGTGCCTGCGTGATTGGCTGGAAAATCAAAACACGAATGGGAAAATCTAGTCACGAGCAAGCTCACTTCACGAGCCTATCTTTCTTTGCCCTTCCTAATCTTATCTCCTTCTTGCTTGTTTCGTTCACGAACATGGTCACATTAGTTTTGATAAACAATTATCGTAACAAGGTAACATTAACACATTTCATTAACGGAGATTGCACTGCCCAAGGTCGAAGTGTGTTTAAGAAGAAAGTTTTTAGTTTAGTTATTAAAAAAAAAGTAAAGGAAATTTTTGGAAATTTATATTTCATGGTCACATTTAACACTTCGTGACACGCTGGCTGTGCTTTGAAATGGCTGGGAAATTTGCATGGAAAAACGCGATGCCGACGTGGAAAAATGGAAAAGCTGCCACACGACAGCAACAACAACAACTGAGTTAAAGGAACAACTGCAATTATTCAACAATTTGCAAGGAAAAGAGGAGGCAGAGGTAGAGGCAAAGGCAAAGGCAAAGGCAAAGGCAGGGACAGCGGCTGCAGGTGGGCGGCAATGTCCGTGGGTGTGGCCGGCCTGGAAGAAAAGTTCTTCAAACTTT